TCCCAGTGAAAATCCTTTGAGGGCTCTGGGGCAAGATTCATAAGAAAAAAAGGGAGTCTGGAAGTTATACCCTTTATATATCAACACCACATACACCTTTAGACATAAACCATCGACCAGGTCTGGGACTAAGGGTGGATGTAGCTGCACTCAGGCTCCTCTCTGAGAAAGAGTTTAGAGAGCAAGGGGGTCCACTCTGAACCTCGTGACACAATGGGAGGGTTTCCCTATTCTCTGTATTCTTAGACATAAACCATGGACTGGTTCAACGGGAACGTTTTCTCTACTCCTCTTCCTTAGACATAAACCGTTGTCCAGTTCAGCAGAAGGGCCTCCCTCAACCATGTATCAGCCTCGTTACCCTTTATGAGAGACCATTTCAAAAGTAAAACATCTTAAAACTATGAAAACTGGAAGATCTCTGTGGGAATGAAATGCTGACCACATAATAACCAAATTAGGCAAATAAGGCTATTCAAAGGGTTACCACAATGATTTCGATACTTCTTCTGTGGAATTAAGCCTTTTCCCCTTTTATGCAAATGATTTTAGTTTGCACTTCAAAGAAAGATCTGAGTAGAAGTCGTTACCTCAAGATAATCTGCTCCCATTTCAAACCATTGATAGCACAGTACATTTTAATGTACAAGTCCTAAAGAGGGTTCTACCATTAATAAAAATTATATCTTATTTCCAAGAGCCTTATTCCTCACTATCTTTATCTTTAAAGGTTTCTTAGCACCAAAGTATGCTCTTCTTCCTTTCAATCTCACACAGACAACAAAGGGAAAAGGGGATGGGATTATACCTGACATATACACCAATCAGTAAATTTTTTATTGCTATCTCAATGCAGATGACAAGCTTCACAGAGATTTAATTCAATGTATGATCTGCACCAACTCAGTTTGTTTTGAGGTCAGAAACACAGATGACTTTTTAACGTCTCTGGCAGCTGTCTTATCACAAGGTTTCGGAGCCTCTCTCTGGTCTAGACAATACAACCACCTGGCTTTGAGCTCAGCTACTTCCTCTCACGAACAGCCACTATGACGGCCAGGAAGTGGGAGAGAGATTTATTTTGTTCTGATAAACACTGCCTGTTTTGAGGGCCAGACTGCTGGCTGTTTACTTTCCTCTTTTGCAATACGCTATTCATCCTTTGTTTGCGAAGTGGGGTTATATTTGTGGCCCATGAGCTGTACAATGCTAATATCTAAGTGAAAAGCTGGGGTAGGAGGAATAAATCAGCTTGGGAAAAAAAAAAAAAAGGTAGATCTCAAACAGTTGGCTCATTTGGGGTGACCAACCCCAAATAACACAACATACGCTTTGCAATGTACTACCCTGCAAAGAGAAATGCTATACTCATATGGGGTATTTGACTCTTCATCTTTTCCACAGAAGGTAAAGAATTGCCCCAGTGGTATTTTCTAAACCACATTTCTCTTGAAGTGAGGTTTACAACAAAAGGTATTTTGATTTTCTGGAATATCTTCAAAAACTGTTTTGTAAACATAGAAGTCACATCCCTGCTTCAAAAAAAGGCAAATTTCACCATGAAAAAAAAAATCAGAAGAAGCTTTCATGTTGAACTTAGTGAGGAGTTCACTGATAGCTAGACATCTGGTTAGAAGCCCTAAATCATTAGTACAAGTTTCTGGAAGACGAATGAATACTTTAATTTCATATGTACTTTTTCCCATGTGAACACAGCAAAGGAAGGCAGTTTCCTGGCCTTTCCACTCCTTAGAGTCTGAGGTCCTGAAAACCTGAAAACATGTTTTAGGCAACTCTGACCCATAAATGCCAGAAAGAAGTTCTGATCTAATGCAAGACTCCAAAAGGCTCCAGTGCTTTGGAAGAAATGTAGACTGCCTGGATGGAATAAATCTCTCATTTGTAAATGGAATTTGATATTACTTACAGAATTCAAAAAAAGCTGCAGGAAGATGGGGGGAAGAGTCAGAGAAGACAGTCATTTTGGCAGGAGTTAGAAGTAGTTTTGCAAGAAACTCACAATTGAACAAACAAAAATACTAGAGATTTTAGAAGGTCAGTTCCAAGCACATTACCATATTGATACGGTTTTTAATAAGCATTTTCATATATATGTCTGCACAACCTGTCCAAAACTTTGAAATCACAATGCTGCTACATTGGGAAACATCGTAAGTTTAACTAATGTATTATATTTTTTAACTCTTCATGGGACTCACATAGGCAAAGACAATGATATTTTAAAACGTGCTTAGAGGGCTGACCACAACCATATTAGAAGCCTAACCTTCACTGTCTTTGCTTAAGATTACTGATCTTCACACAACCAACTTATAAAGGTTCTTTCTGGCCCAGAGTAGTAAATGTGGCAGAGACATGGACAGTACAACCTTTAGTCAAAGCTGACATATAACCTGGTTTCTGAAGACAACAGCACTTAACTCTTGCAATCTCGTTATGTATTTTTCAGTGTCCAGCCCTCAAATTTTTGGCCAAGATGACTAAGGCACGACAATCTACTACTTGAATGCCCAGAGTACCTATGACTCTTGCCATGTTGACTGCTGCACTGGTGAGTCCAGGGGGTTACCTCTCTCTGCTAAAGATGTCTGTGGTGACATCAGGGACTCGGGCAGCTTCCTAGAAAGACACTGATAAACACACATGCCAGACTCTCCTACAAGAAGAAACTGGTGTGAGTAGGGCAGATGGCAGCACGGTATTGATTGTTCTAACATGGGGATCTTCTAATGGAGAAAAGGGGATCCTCCAAGTGCCTGCAGTAATTTCTATCTGCTAGCAAAATGTATCCCATAGTTTTATCTCATCTTCTCCAGATAAGACTGCTAGGCATCTGGTTTGCATATGGTAAAGATCATAATGTAGCTGCAAGCAAACTGGCTACAACCAGTAAAGACAGAGACAATGCTGGGGATTTGCAGCTAATCAGCTAGGGCTACAGAGTCCTGCCACCGAATGTGGCTGCTAGGCGTTCCCAGCTAGAGCTCACAGTCTCAGACGGTGCCAGTGAGAGCAGCTGCTGAGTTTAGGAATGGGTTTTTTCCTCACCTTCATCCCACTTTTAGAGAGCCACAAGCACTTCTTAGTGAAACAGGATCCACCGTCATTTTGCATTCACTCTTACTAAACAACTTTTGTTATTTTTAAGTCTATAGGGCCATACTGAAATGTAGTATGACACAACAGTATTATTTCTGTACCGTGACTGGAAGGTTCTGTCCTCCCTGCAAAGTTAAGAGGAGCTGAAGCACTGTAATAAACAGCACAGGATTTACCTGAACTGCCTTCCTACGGCCTGCCCACGGGACCTCTTCGGCACTGCTAACACAACCATCTTTTCTGCAGGCAACACACAGAGGTATCTTCCTGGGAGCTTTCTCAGTTCTAGCCTGGTTATGCCATCTTGTTGGGGACCATACTGACACAAAGCCTACTCGGAACTGAGAGATTCACTTATACATTCACTAAAGAGACAGAGCTTAGGCCTCTAAGAATGACACAACTTGCGAGAAGCAAGCGTGCTGGAAGCAACCCAAATGCCTTATCTGCCACTGTGAAGAACACCAGTGAAGTACTGTGATAACTCAAGATGAAAACATTGCAGAAACATGCACAAATACTGCAGCACTTTTCTCTAGATGCCAATTCCTCTTCCAACTCATTTTTCTTTCTTGTTGTGAATGCACATGAAGCTACAAGTATGTGGAAAACATCTGCCTGTAACATTCTTAGCTGCCTATTTTGAAGAACCTTTCCTTCCACATATTCCAAAATAGTTGAAGCACAGACAGACGGCTAATCCAGCCGCGGCAAGTGCGTAAATTTAGAGAGTGTGTCAAAAAGCAAAACCTAAACTCTAGTCTGTTCAAAACCTCTCTCTGTGGTTTGGCATCAATATTGTATTTACTGAAACTCATTAGACTGTGACAGGACACAGGATAATTCAAACAAAATAAAAGCTCTGGAAGATCGTAGATGGCTCCTGACACTCTGCACAAGGTACTCTTGCACAAGAGACCAATTTGAAGCTGTAGATATTGTGGAAATTTAAGGAAGATCCAGTCATTTTAGGAATTCTTAGCACAGGTAAGCCCAAACCTCACCGCAGAAATGCTAATGACTGCATGTAAACTGCAGAACTTCATCTTTCCTTTCCTGTAAAAGTCTTGACTCTTTATGATGCAGACAGCATACTGCAAGTAGATGAAACTTCATGGATAGAATAGCATCTTTCTATTTTTCTTCTGCAGTATCTACCTGGCTTGCAGTTTCTGTAGAATTATTATCGAACACTAACCTGGTTATGAGTCTGACTGGTAACATTCAAGTCCCCGAGAACTCTCCCACAGGATCCAGGACTATCTGCTTATACTCTGGTCGACAATTTACCACTTGCTTTCACATCTTTTCCCTATCACCTTCCTGGTTTTGTTCAATATCACATAGTGAAAGAGCAACCTCCCCCATCTCACAAAAAGAAAACTCATCTTTCTATTGTATCCCCAAATAGTTACTTAAAAAGAGGATATAAGGATCCCTTAAAACCTTATATAGGCAGCCATCAGAAGCACAGTAGTGCCCTGAGGAAAGAATATACTGAGTCCCTACAGGTCACTGCCCCAGACAGACCTCCCCCTCTTTCTCTCCTTTCACCTTTTAAATGTGTAGTTTGATAAAAGCCAGTTGATAATGTAAAAAACTATTTGGACTTTCAGGAATAAAACAACCAACAACACAGTGAAACAGTTAGAAAGTCTCGACCTTCCAAAGAACACTCACATTCTGGTTGGAACAGGGAGGAATGTAGGAAATGTACGTGTTCAACATGAGAAGAGTTTCCAGGAAAGCAGGATTCTTTTTTTTTTTTAAACTGGCAAGTCAAAATGAAAGTGCAACTGACTTCCAGATGAGGGTGTGGTGCTTGAAGACAAAATGCAATGTGTCAGCCCAATTCAGATCATTTCACTGAAGCACACATATCTCTATTGCCGTACCTGCTACTAGCCTGCTGACAAAAGGTTAGTTTTGTTTTAATATTTACTGCTCTGTATATTAAATGTGATATACTTATCTTGTTTACATAGAGAAGAGCTAGGATTTACTTGTAGTTAAGTTGGCTTTGCAGAGAGACATAATTTCACTAAGGCACACGCTCATTTCCAGTCTTAAAATTAAATCTGTTCACTAGAACAGAATACTGCTTAGTTCTTTAAAGAAAAAAATCTGTCTGTTTAAATTAGGGTTATTAACTTCATTCAACATGTATTCGTACAATCCCATGTCAAGTTTAAACACACAATTTGTATCTAAATAGAAGGCTGGAGTAAGTCTGCAAGAAAACATGCAAAGCTGTCTGTTAACGCATCTATTAATATACCTCCTAGAAAACAGTACTTGAAAAAACAGCTGAGGTTCTGAACTGTGTGGGTACTTGTGGGCAGTTTTGTCCGTGACAAGATTCCTTCCTGCGCGTATCATACTAAGAAGTCTCCAGCTGCGAGATGCAGCGTGCCCACAGCAATTTGGTTCTGTAAGAAATTCCACATGGGCATAAGGCAGCTCGCTGTGCGGGATGGAGACTAAGCTAAGCCTCTTCCACCACTGTTCAGCACCTGACTCCCGTGGGACTGCTCTGCTTTATGTAATGGGCATGTATACGTCTGCCTGAGAAACAACAGGAATGACAAATCTGAATAGGTATGTTAAAAACACAATTATGTTTTGGCTAAGGGAGAAATACCAACAGTTGCATTTTAGATAACTTTGTTTCTGTCAAGAACTCAGGTCAGCCAAAAGCGTACCAGACAATGGAGCATACTCCTTGTCAGAGGCAAACCACGTTGTGATATGCAAACTTCTTGAAGTTTGCACTGAAATGTTTATTGTTTTGCTTTCAAGCAAATTTGCCAGTGATCCAATTTGATTAAGCATTCTCAGATGGGTTCTGTGGTGTTTTAGACCACAACAAAATCTTTTCATTAACTTTTAATTTTCTTCTAATTTTGGCTTAAACCCTCCCCGCAACAGTTTCTCTTCCACTAAAGAGAGAAATACATTTACTGCTGCTGTCTGAATCTCTCCTTCAACTACCATCAAGCTGCAAAAAGATTACTCCTGCTGAAAAATCCTGCCAACACAGCTTGTTAGACACAGAACAGACATCCCTTGCCAAAGTAATAAACAGTACTACCGTATTTTTCCATTCTGCACACCTCATTTAGGCAACAGTAAATGACCGATTACAAGGCTTAAAATAAGAGTAATCACTGTTTAAAGTTTAATGGGAAATGTTTTGAAATGTTAACAAAATAACCCAACAAGATCATTAAGGATGAAGCCAAACCAAATAGTGAATTTCTAACTAACACACTTTATAAAAAATTAGATAGCAAATTAACTGGAAAAATGAAAAAAAAAACCACATCAGAAATAGAAATTATTCATATGTCTCTGTTCAATCGGTCTGCATCCCTGAATATGAGATCAATCAGTCACTTATTTTTCCTGGTAGACAGAATACATTAAATTTTTTTTTTTTTAAGAGATACCTTTTATAATACAGGTTTGGCAACCCTTAATTTAAACCCTTGTCTAAAAACCAGAAATGCTATTTGGAGGTTTTTCCAGCCTGAAAAAAGCCAAGTTGTAGCTCTGGGGAAGAATATCAGTTAAGACTCTGCTTTCAGTAACACTAGCCTCAAATTCTGAAATGCTGCAGATGATGAGAAAGGGGGATGTTTTTCATTCTCAGCTACTTTTTGCTACTGCTGTTAAGAAATCTTAATCCCATTTATTTCAAGAAAACAGGGCACTGCAGGACTGTAGTTTACAATAGAAAGAATTTCAGCAAATTATTCAATGAACTCAATTACAGAAAAAGAAGAAAATACTGTAGGACCTGACTCGCTTAAGACACAATCTGAAGATACAAACACAAACTCCAACCCTAAGCTGGCAGTGAGAATACAGACTTAGTATTTACAGAGTAAATCTGTCATGAGATCGTACTTGGAAAAAACCAGCAGAGCTTCTGAACTGTTTGGGTACTTGTGGTCAGTTTAATATGTGGTAAGATTCCTTTCTCTCATGACATCCTCAGAAGTCTCCAGTTGTAAGATGCAGTGTACCCACAGCAATTTGATTCTGTAAGAAATCTTCTGCTTGCTGTGTAGGATGGAGACTAAACTAAGCTTGTTCTGCTGCTGTTCAGCAACCGACTCTACTGCTGTGCTTTATGTAATTAATGGGCATGTGTATGTGTGCCTGAGGAACAAACAAGCGCACTTTCCCTATATTATACCCATTTCTCAAATCTGCGAAAATTTATGATAGTAGGCACAGAACGCTACTGCTTGCCTCTCAGCTTTAATCTGCTAGTATTCCTTCTCCACGCGATTGTAATAGCATGTACAGCCTTCAGCTGGTAGCCCTTGGCTTTGCAGAGGCTGCAGAGAGGAAGGTGTCATTTCAACCCTGTAAAGGTACAGACAAATTTATTTTGCAGTGGAATACTGTCAAACATCAGTGAGTCAGAGTGGTTTAAGCACTGATGGCTCCTCAACTGAAATGTGGAAACCAGCGAGGTGCACTCCAAGCATCTTGCAATCTCAAACGCTAAGGTTAATGAAAGCATTTCAATTGAATTCATTTTACTTTGCATTGCACACATGAATGTTGCCAGTCACCCCATTTCATGTGAGAATTTGAGACGATCTGTTCTGCCTCCATCACTGTGTAGCTCTACTTTGATTATTCATGAATGTATTCTTGATATCCAACTTCTTTAAATTTGAGATGTATAAGCAACCCTGAGCAAGGGTTTTAGGTTTCAACAGAAATTTTAAAACTTAAACTCAGTGTTATTTCTTTGGTGTTCCCTTGTCCTCCCTTTTTTTTTTTTTTGTGTGTGTGTGTCTTGCAGGTTTGCCATTGGCTGGGATATGAATAACTCAACTGATTACTGGATTGAGAACGAGGAGGATGATCTCAACTCTGTTATAGATTATAATACATATGAGCTTCTCTGTGAAAAAAGTGATGTGAGAAAGTTCAGTAAATTATTCCTCCCCGTGTTCTACACATTGGCTTTCACTGTTGGAGTCGCTGGAAATTCATTAGTGGTTGCAATTTATGCCTATTGCAAGAAATCAAAGACTAAGACAGATGTGTACATCATGCATCTAGCCATTGCCGATTTGTTCTTGCTCTTTACACTCCCTTTTTGGGCTGCAAATGCAGTGCAGGGATGGGAACTTGGAAACTCAATGTGCAAGCTCACTTCTTCTCTGTACACCACGAATTTCAGCTCTAGCATGCTGTTCCTGGCCTGTATTAGTGTGGATAGATACAAGGCCACTTCTGAATCCCGGGGTCATAGAAGAATTGGTAAACACTGCAGTGTTACCTGCATCTGTGTTTGGCTGGCTGCCATTTTCCTCAGTATCCCTGAACTGATATTTAATCAAGTCAAGAAACACAATGACAGGAATGAATGCCTTTCTGTATTTCCAACAAACATGGAAACACTCTTAAAAGCAACCATTCAAATCCTGGAAATTATCCTGGAATTTCTGCTTCCTTTCCTAGTAATGCTGATCTGCTATTCAGCTACTGCTCGAGCAATCTTTAGATCGGCAAATGTTAAAAAATCTAGACCTTTCATGGTTCTGCTGGCAGTAGTGGCTACTTTCATTATTACCCAGCTACCTTACAACATCGTTAAGTTCTGGCGAGCCATAGATATCATCTACATGCTGATTACTGACTGCGACGCCAGTAAAACCATAGACGTTGCACTCCAGGTCACCAAGAGCATAGCTCTGTTTCACACCTGCCTGAACCCTCTTCTCTATGCCTTTCTGGGTACCTCTTTTAAAACGCATATTACGAAAATTGCAAAAAATTATGGATACTGGAGAAGACAACAACAGAATGGAAGACCTGAAGAAATTTCTATGAATTATGAAGACCATACCGAAGAAACAACTAGTTTCACTATATAGACTATAAATTGTCCATTACTTTCAGTATCTTATATAACCATGGGAATTATTTACTAATTCTGGGGGTATTGTTTCAGCAGCTGTTTCTCTGAATGTCAACTTTCAGATGAATTTCTGAACCTGCAGACTAGCCAAGACACTACAGTGCAGTTCAAAGTGGAATATGTTGATCAAAATTAAGCATCAGACAAGAAATAAATACTGAAACTCCTAGAAACAACTAGAGATATTTACCAAAAAACCAGCAACAAAATAACAACAAAAAAAAAACCCACAACAAAATCCAAACACAGAAAAAACCCTCAAGATTTAAAAGTGTCACAGTACTAGGCAATTAAATAGCTGTGTAAGGAACAATCTGTACGTGTCTAAACATCTAATCAAAACAGAAAAAGAAACCATCTGCAATAAAACAGCAGTATAAGAACTTTTGTACTGAAAGTTAATAACCTTGTGTATCTCTAACTATTTTCTAAAACTTTAGAACATGTGCCTAGCAAATTGGTTCCATTTTTTTCCTCAGCTTTCGTTCCATAGATACCCTTGCAGCTTGAAATGCGGTATAAGTTAATGGCTGAGACCTGAGAGAAAGAGGGAGTCGGGGAGAAAGCCATTCTGTTTCGCCATATGCATAGCAACAACGACATCCTCCACAAAAACTGGTAACTCCTTCTCTGTATCTACCAAAAATTACCTTTCACATCTCCTTTTCTGCTCACCCTAAATTTCAGCCAGCCCAGTGCCCCATGGCAGGCACATTCTAGATCTCTGTAAATGCTAAAGTAGTGCAGCCAAAGCATTAGCAGAAATGTAAGAAAAAGTTCAGTTAATCTTCAGATACAGGGCCCGGAATTTCTAGTCAGTATTTGTAAAATTAATCAAACACTGCAATAACTGTATCTGCTAAAATATATGGAAATACAATAAAATCAAATAATATAAAAAGTGCACTGGCTTTCATTTATTGGTATCTTTATGTTTGTTTTGTTTTAGTAGGTACTGACATCTCTCATCATAGGCATTTATCAACTGGCAAAGAGTAGAGACCTTGCTTGATGAACGAGAGGGGCTCTGACTCCATATGGAGCTCACGGTTGGTGGGCTTTAGTTTTTCCACAGAGAGGTACCAAGGCTGTCCTCTGCCACAGTGCTGGCAAAGACTCCAGGAAAACAGCAGTTTTCCATGACTCTCTGGAAGCGTTTCAGATATATTGACATTAGTTTCCAAATGAAAAAAGTGGTATTACAGCATACTGTCCCTGCCCTCAAACATCCCATGGGCTCTCACAAAACGCCTGATCTACAGCTTATGAAAGCCAACAAGAATCCCTCACTTTTACACATTGTTCCTAGTTGCACAATTATGGAATGCAAGAAGCAGCTCTAAAATTACAGACAAGAAACAACAGTAGCATAAACAAGGCACAAGCCTCTTCTCTATGAATGACAAAAGCTTACAAAATTTCTGTCCAGTATTTTGAGAAATACTAGGACGTGAACAGCGAAGTCAGAAGTGTGTGTCGGATGGTCTACACATATACCATAAAGCTGAGATATTTCGGCCATACTGGATTTACTGCAGACATGCAAAGTACCAGTGCAGAGCATGGTAAGAAACTCCAGTTCTTTCACAAAGCAACTGACTCCTTGCATGTGTGATTTATGAGTTGTCTTCACAAATACAGAGGGGTTGCACCCAGAGTGACATTCTGACCAGGTCGTTAGGCTTCTGGAATTCCCAAACAGCCAAGGTCCTAACGTCCCACTCAGAATAAAAAGGGTAAAAAAACCAAAACAAACCGAAAACAGAATTTCCAACCCCCCCCAAAAACAACCAGGCAGAAAAGGAGACTCTGACAAAGGCAGAGCTACATGTGTGTCTCAAACTTTGTGAAATTGCAGTGCCTTTTATGCATCTGTATGCAAACCTGACTGCCCTAATTATTATTAGAAATAAGAGAAAAAAAAAATCATGCTTACTCTCTTATGTTTACTCTTCTTTTTATAATTCATATAACTAATTTTATGAATAATATTTTGTGTATGTGACCTCCTACAAACTTTCCAGTTACTTCCTTAGGAACTGCAATGCACAGCTGGGAGACACTGACCCAGAGCAAAGGTAGCAGCCAGCAGTTAGACTCTCAGGTCAAGAGACAAGATATCATGCCCCCTTTTGCCGCCAGTTTTGCAGTACTAGAAAAGAGAGCGAGCCCTATCTTCTGGTGAGTCTAGGTAGTGCACAGGCATGTATCGGTAGATAGCTGCCACACTCAAAGGTACAGAAATGAAATGTTCAAGTTTCACTTGTTAGCAATTCAGTTTATTTAGTTGGCTTCCAAACTCCCAGGGAATGATGATTTTCAAGTTGCTGTCACGTATGTTTTGGTAAAAAAGCAACAGTACTACAGTATCAGGGATATTTAGCACTTACAGTACAATCCATTGATTTTTCTGGAAAGTATAGTATAAGAAAATCACCTGTAACAGTCAGTTCAACAGCATCACAGGTTAGTTTAGAAAGTAGCCAAATTTTACTGTAACTACACAGTATACTCAAACCTCACACACAAGCTGCCAAAGATAGCTTCATAAATATGAAGTTTAAAGGCTACAGCCATAAACATGTACGTTACTTGATGCAAAGAAGGAACCTTTAAAGAACAATAGCAGTATGCATTCTGTAATTGAAGTTCAGTGGTTCCAAAAAAGGCTCAAAACCCCAAACAGGCTTTGAGTCTTGAACTTTGCTTCATAGAACAAAAGCTCGATTCAGCTCTTTCCGTTGTTCTGTTGCTTTTACTCAAGAAGAGACCATTTTCCATCTCAGAAATGGGGCATAAGTATTTTTGTGTTAGCAATTCTTGGGAAGAATTTTAGACTTAGCCATTCTTATTTAGGCTTTCCATACTTACCACTGCTCCACCACTTCTTGCCATTGATCACATAACTGTTTCCCTCTCGCTCAATGCTGCACTGCATATTGGTGGCATCACTTGAAGCCACATCAGGTTCTATGTTAAAGAAAAAAACAAAACCAAACCACTGCATTAAATATACAGGTAGTACTACCTCCACAAATATAGGGATCTAGGTATACTCTATTGACAGTAACAATGTTTTGCTCCCAGTAGAAAAGCTGTTTTCAGAACCTCACCCTGCTGGTGGTCAAAGGCTTTCTATTTTCCAACAACCTGTTATTCACAGACTAAACTTACTTGTTCTTGGGCTTAGACTACCCTTTATAGTCAACAGCTTTCTTCCTTCCCTGATGTTTTTAAATCCCTTCCAATGTACTTATAGATAATAGTCATACCTGTCCTCAGCCTCATGGCTCTTCTCAAGTGAAAATACAGAGATTTAAACTACTTTTGCGATGGTTTATAAAATAGGTTATAGAAAGTTGCCAGTAAAATGTTATCAATGTTTCTTTGGAACAGGAAAGATTCTTCCTCTCTCCTTTCACCCTCAACTTCTTTTACAGGCCATCTTCTTTAAAGCAAAAGCATCTCCTTCCTCTTGGGGAAGATCGAGAAACAGAGTTTGCAAAACAAGGGTCCAGCTCTGCAAAGCTGAGGTCTCTCAACTCCTGCTGACACAGGAAGATCAAGATTTTGACATCACATACTCAAAAGCTACCTTCCTATATCAAGAGCCAGGCCCTCCAGTGATGCTGAATACCACAAGTTTTCAAGGGCAAAAATGAATATAGTGCTGAGCTACAGACATAAAGCAAGTGCATCATATGTTTTGCAAGTTATCTTCAGGTTATGTCTTAAAACCCCTAACTACGACATACTGCAAAACTACACAACTTTGTGTGTTTCTAGAGAACTCCAAAGCACACTACAAAAAAGGTTAAGTTCTATTGTAAATCTGTTTGGTACAATAAAATGTATTTTACTAGTACTAAAAATAAATTGAAAATATATGGAAAGCAAATACTAATTATTATAACCATGAAAAATGGTAACTATCAGGGAGGGCAGCAAGGGTGCTTCACTTTGCATTCGCACCTCATAGATGATTTCATATTCAAACACATCCACAGATACAGTGGAAATTTCTGTATCAATTCATTGACACATAACAACTTGCAGGTTTGTACTTTTTGCATATGCCATGTGAAATTTTGGCCAATTGCCTCTAACTTTCTTCTGCAGAAAAATTTACCTGTCATGCAGAAGCAAGAACTAATCTTCCCCTCTAGGAGAGGCTCCAGCCACTCTTTCTTTTGCTCTTCAGTCCCGTACATGTGCAGGACCTCCATGTTTCCAGTGTCTGCAAGAAATCAGCAGTCACATTTACTTCTTGAGAGACACGACTCGTAAGGCCTAAGAAGCCCAACTATTTAATGCTGTCAGTGTTGTAGTTACAGGACAGGGCTGCTAACCTGGCGCATGACAGTTGAAAACCTCAGGAGCAAAGAAGCATTTCCCCGTCTCCTCAGCTATTAGTGCGTAGTCCAGCTGGCTGAGACCACTGACAGCTGGGAGAAAAAGGTTCCACAGACCTTCTGCTTTGGCCATTTCCTGTTGAAAGAATCAACAGAGAAAAACATTACCAATAGATCTTAAAAAAAAAATAGAATTCTAGCTTGCTGTCCATTTTCTTCCTTCCTGCCTAACATACTGTCCAACATATCTGATGCCTTTTTTCAATAGCCATTTTCAATAGGTACAGTCTTTGCCTTTGACTAAAAGTTCAGCCATACCCCTCACAGAACTCGCTTTTGCTTTTCTCCTCTCTCATTTGTATCTCAGCCCCTTTTGCATACCTCCTTCTCCTTTCCTTTCACTGCTCCTCACACTGTTTCTTTCCACGCAGAGTAACTTCTCCAGCAGGATATGCCAAACATTCTTACGCTCTATGTCAGTGCCTGTTTCTTTTACTGCTAGAATGCTCAAGAATATTTATTATCCCATACCTTCAGTCTCTCAAGCAGTGGTGGTTTCTTCCATTTCTCCTCAGTATTTCCATGTCCAGCATAGTATTTTATTATTTCCTTAGAGAAACAATTTAAAAGATACTGTTCAAATTAAGAACACATGTAACATTAGTAATAATATAGTGTCTTTTCCAGCCCTACAACCCCAGAAACCAATTAAAAAAAATATTCAACACAGGTTTTTATTATACAGTTGGTTGCATTATAAAATTAAAAATACAATTGAAAATAAAACTGAAAACTATTCTTTTTGCAAGACTTTAAATGCATAGTGAGGATGACCC